ATGTTTTGCCCAGAACCACTAATGCTATACTACCTCTTAAAGAGAAAGCTCTTACATGTATATGGCTCAACCCAAGGAAATTTTGATTCACAGTAAACTGTACTTAAGAATGAGTCACACAGAATGGCGGATGTCCTAAACAACACTCTGGCCTCAGAATCAGCCCTAAAGGCATTCGGATCTGGCTGAAAAGCCCATGAGAGTATTTCAGGCATGGAAAGCCAACTCTGCCATAGATAAAAACAAAGAGAGAAACCGCACAACACAAACACCTAAATTAAAGATCTCTGTGAGTGGGATCCCAGTGGAAAGAACAGGCCTTCAAAGAAGGAGGTACCTTTCTCTGACCTTGTCTAAATAAGATAAGAGTCGGTGAACTCAAAAGGCTTCCATAGCCTTGGAAACTCATGACTGGAGCATAGGGAGATTACTGATGCCATAAACAGGAGTGTCAATTTGTAAAGTCAACAACAGGAGCCACTGTGCACTTACTCCTCATGTAGGATCACTGTATTTAATGTGCTGTACATTGAGATTCAATGCTATAATGAGTACTCAAACAGTATTTTTCACTTTGTGTTTCTATGTGGGTGCAAACTGTTGAAATCTTTACTTAATGTATACTAAACTGATCTTCTGTATATATAGAAAATTGAAAATGAATCTTGATATGAATGGAAGGGAGAGAGAGCGGGAAAGGGGAGGATTGCGGGTGGGAGGGAAGTCACTGGGGGAGGGGGAAGCCAGTGTAATCCATAAGCCGTACTATGGAAATCTATATTCATTAAATAAAAGTTAAAAAAAAAGAATGAGTCAATAACTTATCTGGTGAAGTATTAAGCCTTTTTGTGGGGAGCAACCCGGACTGGACTAAGTTACTGGAATTAAGACTTGTTCTATGCATCTGCTCTCCCACGGTGTGGCGCTGGGAGAGGAGAAAACAGCTTCTGCACAGCTGCCTCCAGTTCAGCCAATAAACTGTAGGACTTGCTCCTGATTGGAGGAGAGCAGCGTACTCGGCGTGTGGGCAGCCGAGTTGGGATTGGCGGAGGAGGACTATGAAGGAGGGGAGAGACGGCATGCACCAGGGAACATCTAAGGGGAACATCTAAGGGGAACATCTAAGGCGAACACCTGTGCCGCTCCCGAGAGAGCCGGCCGGCGGTGTGCTGCTCCCCTGCGGAAGTGGGGAAAGTGGCCAGGGGGAACCGCCCTTCCACAGAGGTGGAAGGGACAGTAGCCAACCCGGGAAGAACCAGCAGCAAACCCGGGAAGGGCCAAGCAGACGAAAGAACAGCGCAGGGTCCTGTGTCGTTCCTCCGCGACGAGGGGGAGCGACATAATGGTGCCGTGACTCGGATATGAAGCCTAGGCAGGGTTTAGTGTCGTTCCTCCACGAAGAGGGGGAGCGACACCTTTTTACTATAATGCACCTTTAAAATGTTATCTCAAAAACTAAAAAAAAAAAGTGGGGGGGGGAGGACAGTGAGCAAGACAGAGGAAGAGGGAGGGAGGGAGAGACCATCAATATGCTCTTAGAATTGCATCTACAAGATGCCAGCGTTGTGGAATAACGGGTAAAGCTGCCACCGGTTCGTATCCCAGCTGCTCCACTTCCGATCCAGCTCTCTGCTATGGCCTGAGAAAGCAGTACAAGATGGCCCAAGTCCTTGGGTCCCTGCACCACGTGGAAGACCCAGAGGAGGTTCCTGGCTCCTGGCTTCAGATTGGCACAGCTCGAGTCATTGAGGCCAATTGGGGAGTGAACCAGTGGATGGAAGCCTCTCTCTCTCTCTCTCTCTGCCTCTACTTCTCTGTGTAACTCTGCCTTTCAAATAAATAAATATTTTTAAAAAAGAATTGCATCTACAAATGACACTGAATGTTAAAAAATTAAAATTTTAAAATACTAAAAAGCATATGATCCAATCAATCAAAAGTACATAACAATCATATATACCCAAAATAAATATGAAAAAAAGTATGTAAGCTTAACAGTTAGGCTTCTCTATCTGTATATTCAACCAACCATAGACTGAAAATAATCAGAAAAAGTTCTTCTGCACTGAACACACACAAACTTTTCTTTCTTGCCATTACTCCCTAAGCAATACAATAACTACATAGCATTTACATTAGATTAGGTATTACCAGTAATCTGGAAATTATTTAAAGTATATAGGAGGATGTGTAAAGGTCCTATTATACAATGGGCTTGAGCATCTTTGGATCTTAGTATCTATGGGGCTCCTATCTTTTCCCTGCCTTGGCATCCACTGCCAGAACTTGATTATATAAGGGATCTTCAAAAAGTTCATGGAAAACCCATATTAAGTAAAAGCCAGGCATAGATTTCAACAGTTTATTGCACCAAAATAAACTTATCTTTTAATTCCATTTTCCATGACCTTTTTAAATTACCCTCTTAAAGTTTAATTTATTTTTTTCAATTTAAATCTTTTTTTGAAAGACACTGAGAGTGACAGACAGAGGCACTAAGACAGAGAGACCTCCCATCTGCTGGTTCACTCTCCACATGTCCACAAGAGCCAAGGTTGGTGCATACCGAAGTCAGGAGGCTGGGACTCAATTTGGCTTTCCCATTTGGGTGGCAGGGACCCAAGAATTTGCATCATCTCTCACTGCATCCCAGGATACACAATAAACAGTAAGAAGCTACAATACAGAACAGCGCCAGGACTCAAACCCAGCACTCTGATACGATCACATCCCAGGCAGCAACTTAAGCATTTCACCAAATGCCTACCCTCTTCCTACAGTTTTTACAACTAAAAGGGACTGTACTGCTAATGACCCCACTATGTGCTGACCAACTACAGACCTGTAGCCCATGTGGAACTTACGCTCAGGATTCCACACAAGATGCTCAACATATACCAATGAAATAAAATGATGAACTCATTTTTTTGTTAAAGATTTATTTATTTATTTGAAAGACAGAGTTACAGAGAAGGGTAGAACCAGAGAGAGAAAAGTCTTCCACCCACTGGTTCACTCCACAAATGACTGCAGGGTCAGAGCTGAGCTGATCCAAAGCCAGGAGCCAGCAGCCTCTTCTGAGTCTCCCACATGGATGCAGGGACCCAAGGACTTGGGTTATCTTCTACTACTTTCCCAGGCAATAGCAGAGAGCTGTATCAGAAGTGGAGCAGCCAGGACATGAACCAGTGCCCATATGGGATGCCGGTGCTGCAGGCCAGAGCTTTAACCCACTGCGCCACAGTGCCGGCCCCAAATGATGAACTCGTAGAACTGTTCTGAGGTGAATGTTCCATTTATATGAATGTGTAATAACACAAACATCTGGAACATCACAAACAGAATCAGTGACAAAACATTTACTTCAAGCAATGCAAAGAAAACTTTATTTTCGATGTATCAAAATTTGCAACACTGTTTCTTAAATGCAGATAAGGAAATCTAAAACATGTTAAGGCAATTTTCTGACTAAAATTTACTTATGGAAAAGCTATATTTTCCATATCTAAAAAACTATATCCATGGCAATGGTACCCTGGCAACAGATACATTACATAATGTGAACATCACACACAATCAAAACAAAACATTACATAAAAACAAAATCACAGCCATTGTCACTACAGGCCAAAATTTAGTCATTAAAGCTACAAAACAACATATTTCCTTGGTTTTAATAATTAGTAGTTTTATTTAAATATAAACGTGAGGGTTACACTTTACAATCAAACAGGAAAGGTATATAAAGTATTAAGAAAGCATCTTCCCAGAAATCTACGAACACTTTTATGACAGCCCATCTCATGACAGTTTCCTCACCATAGATGCTAGGAAAACTGATCAAGTAGGGCACTCATTTGGCCCCTGTCTATACCTCCTTCCCCTTATTGTCACTACTTTAATATTCTTTTTTACATTTGATTTGTCACACTCCACTGAAAATCATTTTATGAAATTGGTAGAAGACACAGAAAGAAAATTTAAATACACTGTCTTCTATTCTTAGATGACATGTTATCACAAAAGAATCTCAAATGTAGTAACTTCTAAAAATCCCTAGTACTCTACCCATCACATGATATATGGCAATCACTCAAAATGTTAAAAGAAGGCAATGAGCTTGGTAGGGAAGAACCAAAGTTACAACCTTCTTGACCTTCACTCTGCAACTATCAAAGAGAGGATAATAGGTTCAATTAAAAAAAAAAAAGCTAATAGGATTAAAAGTTACAGTGCCTAGCATGTAATGAACACTTAACCATTAACTTTTATTTTGAGCCTGACTTTCCTCAAAGATTCAAGGAAATCAATAAAATCTAACTGTCATAGTATGAATGCTTATGTCCCTCCAGAATTTAAATGTTGATACCTAATCTCCAGTGCTTGATATTTGCAGGTGACTGGTTTATGAAGGTGGAGCCCTCATGAATGGGTTGAATGTCATTATTACAGAGATCTCAGAGAGCTCCCTGGTCCCTTCTGCAATGTGAGGACAGAACAAGAAGGTATCATCTATGAACCTGAAAGTGGGCCCCCACAAACTGAATCTTCCAGCACCTTGACGTTGAACTTACCAACCTTGAAGAGCCTGATAAAAAAAAAAAAAACTTCTGTTGCTTTTAAGCCATTCAGTATGTCACAGTAGCTCTAACAAAGCAAGACACTAACCCAAAGGGTTGCACGAAGCAAACTAGCAGACACGTGGAAATCTTAAATTCCTGACATATAGCAGGTCCTCAATAAATCATTACTCCTTTATTTTCCACCTAGCAACTAAATTCCTATTTTAAGACACAGAAGAAACTTAAAATCAAATATATTAGATGGTATTGATTGTATAAAAGAATAAAAATCACAGTGCTCTAATAAATTATCATTTTTCTGGCACCAATACATTTTCCTATGAAAAACTACAATTAGCATTAATTAATATATATAATATGTCCTAGAAGGATTGAAAAACTGAAACAAGTCTTTTAAATTCAAATTCAAATTTTTACCTTTTCTTCTAGCTGGTCCTTCAAACACTGATATTTTAGCTTCAACTTTTTGTTCTCATTTTCATTCTGGCTTAACTCCTCTGTCAGTCTCTCACACTGTGACTTCAGCTTCTCTAGCTGACAACGATGGACTTTAGCTATATTCTTATCTTCTACACTTTCGGCCTAAGAAAAAGGAAAAAAGCCAAATTATACCAAGCAAATTATTCATTTTATCAATGGGAAAATACGTGAAGATTTTACCTTCTTCAAATTATTCCATAAAAATTAAAATAAACACCAAGTAAATTTTTTTTCATTTATTCAATCACTGACCAGCACTGAGCAGGCATTTACTAAGTGACAAGTGCTGGACCAGGTGCAAAGCTAACAGATACAAACAGTAAACAGGACAAATCCATCTGATAGCAACGAATAAGAAGTGCTTAAAGTGTAAGGCGAGTAGTCTGGCAATGCAGACACACCAATTCTGCTAAAAGGGGAAGGAATCATTAGAGAAGTGTCCCCAACGGGATATACTACGAGAGCATGTCGCTGACCAATCAGCTTCCTCATCTACAGGGAGGAGAGTTCCTCATTCCTCTGCTTCCTAAATCATGATTTTTTACAAAAAAAATAAGTTCTTTTTATGTAATGTAATTATTGGGGCTAAAAAGAGTATGAATTTTAACAGCCAAGAAACTACAGACTTAATATGAAAGAGTTTATCAGTGATTATTTCAGCATCAATACCATCATAAAGTACTGTTTATCAATATTATGTAGAATATAATCAGAAACAACCTCTAACAAATGAACATTTGGAATAATCTATTCTGTATATGAGATTCAATGAAGATTTGTCAGATATATGATAAAGAAATTTCAAATGACAACAGAACAGAAATATTCTGTGTCAGACACTAGTCTAAGACCATTTGGTGTTCAGTTTTTCTTCATCTCATCCTCACAACAACCTGTCCAGAAAGGCAATATTAATGCCTTACCATATCTTTGTTGCAACTGATACAAAGAGAAGCTAATTACTTGCCCAAGGGTATATAGTGGAAAATACCTATGAGACGATGTCATTTAGAACTAACAAAGGAACTGATTTTCCTTTATGAGCAATCCTGTATTCACAGCCCCAAAATAAGCTTACAGAATAAGGTTTCTCATCAGGAAAACTGGCCAATTACAATGTTTTCAGTAGAATGCTTTAACTTCTCTATCCTATAAAAAGCTCAGGTAAATAAGATTTCCCTGTAAGGTCAGCAGAGTGCTCAAGCCAGCTCACAGGGAATCTCGAGAGCTGATGCCATTCACTCTACCCACTTCATTTCTCTACAGTGGCCTCATTTGATAGCCTGAAATCATCCAGGATGGGCACCTTTACACCACTAAACCTAGCAAATATTCTTCTAAGTCAGAGAAGTTTTTCTACGTGAGAATCTTCTGTTAAATATGTATCAGCACACCATTCCCTAAGTTTGATTAAAAACTTATTTACTGTTCTGACTTTTATTACATTTACATTTTATGTTAAGGACTACAAAGTGATACTGTATTCACAACAAAAGATACTCTTTTCCCTACGTTATTCATGAAGCATAAAAAGATAAACTAATCTGACAAAGATTACTTGGCCAGCAAGTGAACAAAGTATATAATTCCAATCCTCTACCTCTGATCACAACAAAAGGGTCTAAAAAATGATTTTGTAGAAATTACAATGAGGCAATAGCTAGATACCCTGAAAATATTAGTCAAGCTACAGAATGCAATTAAAATATTTTAAATTTAAATATAGGTAGAAGAATGATTCTAAATGGCAAAAAAGTGTGCCTAATTTGTACAGAGAAAAATATATGGGTGAGGGCTGGCATTGTGGTGCAGAGAGCTAAGTTGCCTCTGGGCACACTGGCATCCCGAATCAGAGTGCTGGTTCAAGTCCTGGCTACTCTATTTCCAACCCAGCTTCCTGTGAATGGACCTGGGAAGGCAGAGGAAGAGGTCTTCATTTCTTGGGTCTCTGCCATCCATGTGGGAGACCAAAAAAGAATTCCTGGCTTCTGGCTGTTGCAGGCATTTGGGGAATAAACCAGCAGATGGAAGGTCGGTCGGTCAGTCTCTCTCTTTCCATTACTCAAATAAACACACACACACACACACACACACACACACACAATGCATCCAAACAGAAAATGTAGTGAACCCGTGATGATGAAGCTGCAACATGCATAAAGCTACTGATCCAAAACCCCACTGTGCATAGTCAGTATAGTAAATCTCCTATAAGGACCAGTTAACAACTTTTTAATTAACATAAATAAGCAAAAATATAGGATTATGACAACAAAATGCATAATATTAAATCTAATTTATTTGCTTTAAAAAGAAACTACTTGGGGCTGGCACTGTGACGTAGCAGGTAAAGCCGCCACCTGCAGCACCAGCATCCCATATGGGTACCGGTTTGAGTCCCGGCGGCTCCACTTCCAATCCAGCTCTCTGATATGGGCTGGGAAAGTTGTAAAAGACAGTCCAAGTCCTTGAGCTCCTGCACCCATGTGGGAGACCCAGAAGAAGCTCCTGGCACCTGGCTTCAGATCAGCACAGCTCCAGTTGCTGCGGCCAAATGGGGAGTGAACCAGTGGATGGAAGACCTCTCTCTCTCTCTCTCTGCCTCTGCCACTGCCTCTCTGTAACTCTGTCTTTCAAGCAAATAAATAAATCTTCAAAAAAGTAAAAATAAAAAAGGAAACTACTGGGCTCTCAACAATCTCTGGCTCTCCCCTCAGCTCTTCTGCTACTGCTATATTTGTGCTATTGCTGTACTACATTAAAATATCTGCAACCCAATTCTAACAAATCAGTTTTTCAAATTCAAAAAGGAAAAGGTCTAAAGGTTTCAGAAGATTCAACAGATATTAGTAACTAACAATTTATTATTATTTATTTTATTTGAAAGGCAGAGTTTACAGAGAAAGGGAGAGAAAGAGAGAGAGAATTTTCTATCAGTTGGTTTACTCCCAACCTGGGCCAGACAGAAATCAGGAGCCCAAGCACTTAGGCCATCCACCATTGCTTTCCCAGGCACATTAGCAGGGAGCTGGATGAGAAGTGGAGCAGCTGAGAATTGAACTGTCACCCAGATGGGTTGTGGCACAGCAGGTGGTGGCTTAACTGGCTATGCCATGGCACCAGCCCCAGGAATAATTTTTTAAACACAGGTAATTACAGAAAGCTTTATTGTCATCTCACTATAATTAAATTCAAATCACATCTTAAAGCACAAGAAAATCAATTTTTGACATTACATGGAGAAATCCAAACTAAACATCACAAAGCAAGTCCTTTGATTTCCAGCTTGTTAAGCATTTCAACTCAACATCCACTGAGCAGTTCTGCACATCTAGAACACTATTCTACATACTCTAAGAGGAGAGGATACAAAAATGGCCAAGATGTGATACCTGTCCCTCTTTTAAGAACAGACAACAAACTGAAGTACAAGGCAACCGAAGTGTGCTGCACTAGAGATATCAACACAGAGTTATGGAAACAGAAAGGGGTGAGATTTAAACTAACTTCAATTGATATTTATTCCAACTTCAGCTGAGAGCCATTCAAATTTCAGTAGGTCCATAGAAGAGGTAAAAAATTAATTAGGCCTTGAAGGATTAGGAGGGTTTTTCCTCCTGCAGACTGGGGAAAGGTCAATACACAGCAGTGATAGGTATGCGTCAGAAGTGGATTTATATGAAAAATGTTGGGAGTACAACAAAGACATTCTTTAATGTGCACAGGTAAGGTGGGGCCGTATTGAGGAGGGCTGGATTAGAGTGAGACTTCATCTCAGAGGAAATAAATAATCAATCAGGCAGCGACACACTCAGATAATGTGTGCTGGGAAAGAAATCAGGTAGGATCTGAAGGCTTGAGAAATGAGGGGGAAGGTAGAAAAGCTACCTGAAGCATGGTAAAGTAGTCCAAATTAGCAGCCTACATCCTGTTACTTACTGATACATGATATATTTCTTCATACAACAGTGTATCCATGAGCAAATGCAATTCTTGTCAAGCAGGCTGTACCTCTGTTACTTTCTCTCTTACTCAAGAGAGTATAAATGGGAGAATGATATTCTTATGGAGATGATCTTGAGCCTACCTTATTGAATAAATAATTCCTAACTCTTGGAATTGTGTAGGTTATCACACAACCTAAATAATAGTGACAAAACATCAGTAGTTATGAGAAGGAAAGGAGGTTTTGGTTTAAACAACACTCTCAAGAAAACTATCACCTTCTTGAAAAGAATAATTATCTTCTATGGCCATGCCCACCAAAGCTAACACATACTTGTCATTATCCAGACCCTTGCTTTCCTTTGAGGTTCACCCTATTCCTCATCAAATCCTTTCTTCCTCACTGGCAACAGCTGACTGACCAGTCACTCTGTCAGTGAAGTTTTTGTCATGTGGTCAGCTAATGGCTTTAAGACAGTATCATACATACTCAAATGTCTACACAATGAGTAACTTCAACATATTTGACCTGTTCTATTCCTACTACCTTCATTGATATCTACAAAAGCAATGAAATAAATGATGACACTTTGGACTATAACTCTGAAAATTTACACTACAACGTAAGAATATTTGCCTAAATAAGCAACATCTAGCCATGGATTCTTAATCCTCAACTGTCTCACTCTTTTGTCCATCATACATGCTCATGATCATTGCCAGCACATGGCAGTACTGCACATCTTTGACAGTCTGTACCAATCTACACAGAAGTTTACCTCTTCAGCACTCAAATTTCTTATCATACTGCTTCCTTCTCTACTTCAGAGGGAAGATATTAGCAGTTAAAATTCACATCTACTCCCCCAAACCTCACCCATCAATCTTTCTGGTTGACCAAATGTCAGAGGAAGAGATGCCACATTTCCCGTTGAATGTTCTACACTCATTCTATTTTGCTTCAGACCTCTCACATTTTCTCATAGGTCTTCTCCAATACTTTTGGCCAAATGGAATAAACACTTTTTTACTTCCTCTTTTAATTTGTCTGCTGCAATTAATACTCCCAATTATATCTTTTTTGAAACATCCTTCTTAGGTTTCTAAGACACCATTCTCTTCTGATTCTCATTCTGCCCCTTAAATGGCTCTGTTTATAATAATTATCATTATTTGCTATAATTTCTTTTTCAATTCTTCCGTTAAACATTAATGTTCTAAGGTTTCATCCCCTTATCTTCCAAGTACAATATCACCCAACCTCCATGATTTCAATACCACCAAGGAGTTACCCAAATATTTCACATGAACCTCAATTTCTTCCTCAACTCCTGACCCATTATGTACTGAAGTACTCTAATACATTGATAGTTAAGTTTAAGGTCCTTCTCAACATATTAAAAAGACTAAATTTACCACCATTTTATCCAAATATGCTGCTCTGTTTTCTCTATATTGGCTAATAATATCATTAGCCACCTTGTCATCCAAGTTATTACTTAGTCATTCTTGGTCCTAAACATTTTCCAGAACAGCAAAGTATTTAAGAACAAAGTCACTTGATTACCTGGGCTCGTATCCTAACCACTGTCTCCAGCTGTAATACCTTGGGCAACCTACTTAACCTCCTGTGTCTTAATTCCTCAAAAACAATACACAGGACAATGTGAATGTTAAATGATTAATATATATTAAGTTCTTATGGCATGACCAGCACAAAGTGTTGAAAATACGTTTGCTATTAGTATTAATGTCATAACCAATCAATCAGCATGAAATACATATATACGTGTGTGTGGGTATGTGTGTATATATATATATATATATATATATACACTTTGACATTAGTATCTTTACTTTTGTGTGTGTACTCACCTATTCCGAAGGATAATTATTCCATCTATAATTTTTCACATTTTATCATCTCTAACTTGAAATGCTATTTTACAGTGGGTAGCATATCATAGTTTCTGATGCAAGAGACAATATTTTTCTTAATATCACACAACAATGATGCAGCTACCAACCGATTAGCAACCTGCTTTAGGTTCAATTAATTATAGTAAATGTCCCTCATCTACTCCTCCACTATTCATTCTGACTTGTCTACGTCAATACTTGACCCCAAATCCACTACTACCAGAGGCAATGTAAGACTAGGGAAGAATTCATAAAACAGGTATAGCATCTACAAATGTCAATTTTTCAATATGCTTTCTTCTTTTATCATAAACATTCTTAAAGTAGCTGTTGCATTTCAAGAACTTTTGGGAAACAAAAGAATTATAAATAACCTTTGAAGATCTGTCCATTTATTTACCCATTTAACAGGTATCTACTACATTTGAGAAACTGTTCTAAGCACTTGGGATATGGCTATAAACAAAAGCTACTCAAATCTAAGTCCTTTTGGGAATTTCATTTGAACAATGATTAAAAAATAAACTTATCATGTGTAATCTATGTCATATGATAAGTACCATGGGAGAAATAAAACAGGGGGTAAGCATAGATTTATCACACTAATGAGAATCACAGTATGAAATGATTCCACCGCACACTAATGCTGATACCATTATACCTTAGAAATAGTTCCCCAAATGCATTTCTCAATTAGGCATTCACTCAGCACTTTGATTTGGCAAAGAGGAGATAAATCTCAAAAACCTCAGGTTTACACAGTCCATAAACTGATCCACTTTAGTTACCAAACTAATAAGGACTGTGGTTATGACTTCTGTGGCCTTGACAAGTCTTTGCCTCTCTTAAATTTTGAATGAGGGCACATTTCAGTCCACACCTTACTGCCACCTCTAACTTTCCTGACCTCCTCAAATAGCTAAATGTTCTTTTTAAATGGTTTCAATGCTCTAAAATAGGTGCTCCCATGTGGCTGCTACAAGTCATTTCAACCTGGCCAAACAAGCCTGAATAAACTTCTTTACTGTTGACTTTATCTCCCCTTCAGTGCTTAGGAATACAGAAATGATCTCTAAAAGTTTATGCTTTATTAACTTCTTGTGCCACCAGAAAAACTCCTTCAATATCATTAGGATAACTCAGCACAGGTACCTTCAGGGTCCTAATGTGATTCTCAGCTTCAGTCTTTTCTTTCTTAAAGTGCTTCATCAGCTCCTGGATATTCTGTTCATGCTTCGTTTTCACACTCTGCAATGAGGATGTGAGATCTTCCAGCTCCCTCTGGTGAACATCTCGCTCCAGCTTTAATTGTGTGATGACTGTCGCTGCCTCTTCATCCTTGGACTTTACCTGTGTTGTGAGGTCAGCAAGGTCCTTGAGGACCGCTTTCTTGGCTCGCTCTTCCTCAGCCAATCTGTTAGCAAGATCTGCTCGAATGGCACTCAAGTCCTTAATGGACTCTTGCATCTCAAGAAGCTTAGCTTTGTCCTGAGCCTGGCTCTTTCTTAGCTCTGTGATTTCTTCCTCCAGGTGAGCTTTCTCAACTTTCATCTGGTTTTGAATCTTACTATGCTTTTTCAATTCACTTTCTAGTCTGTGGATGTTATCCAGGGAATTCTTGACTTCTAGCTCAAGTTCAGTTTGATGAGACTTAACATCACTCAGTTTCTTTTCCTTAGAGTGAAGCTCCTCCTCTTGAAGGGCACGCTTGGTTAAGACGTCATTCAACTCCTTTCTAAGACTCTCTATTTGTTGTAATGCTGCATAAAGCTGGTTTTTCAACTCATCCTTTTCTTTCAGAATCTATCAAGTTAAAAACATAATACAGAAAAAGTTACCAATAAGTTATTCAACAAGGACTGCCAGGTAACAAAATAAAATTGAATCCACAAAGTGAAAAAAAATCATTAATAATGCTTTATATTTTTCCATTTTCTAATGAATATTTTGTATGCTAAAAGGAATAAATCAGTACCACATTGACATGTATTTCTGATTTTTATCACCAAAACTTATGTCAATCCATGATTTTAAATAATTATTAAATGTAAGATAAAATTATTTAAAGAAATAGAGGAAAGAAAAAGATTTCTATTGTTAAGATAGTTTACAGAAATTGAAATAATATTTTACATAAAATAACAATGATGTTCATTCTAATGAAACACTTTAAAAGAAGAAACTCAAAACAGATGGAAAACAATATTGGGCAGTATGCAAATACCAGGAAAGATTATAGTAAAATAACACAATATTAATAAAATAACATCAGTAATTAGAAGAAACATAGCAATATGCAAATGAGATAATTGAAGGTACAAATGCAATTCATTTAAGATTAAGAGAAGTTGGGAAGGCACTGAGGAGACAATTCAAGGGACCACATGGCTACCAGATTACACTGAAGGATAGAAGCCAATCACTAATCTTCATAGCCTTTCATTCTCTCTCACTCAATCACTGCAAACGGAAATGTAGACAGCCAAGGGAGCCATGAATTTCTTCTCTACAACACTGGTACCAAGTATAATGTCTCTGCCTGTTTACGGATGCCACCAGGCATCCTTGTCTTCAACCAGGAAAAAAAAATAACACTCATTTCAGAATTAGAAATAATGAGTTAAAATGCAAAATATTTCTGAGGCACTTCTACACCTATATTTTATACTTCCGTGTGAAACAATTTATGATACAATGTGATGAGTCACTCACTCCACACAAAGTTTCCTCAAATCCCTCTTAGTTTAACACATCGAACAAACTAAACTGAGAAGTATTAAAAGGAGTTCATTAAACTATTAAGTTTAGACCAAAGGGAACTGAATTTGATTCTCAGACTAGCCATGAATAGTTATATGATGTTAAAAAAATGCTTTATCATCCCAGAGATAATGACAAAGATTAACGTGAAAGGAGAAACAAAATGTGGGGTGAGATTGAAGTGCAACGAAGAAAGGTCTCAGAGATATATCTAAAAACGATGCAAAGAGGGAATAACTGACAGAGCATTGGCCCTGAAGCAGAGGTACTCTAGAACACAGATCAAAGAGCTTACTTTTTTTTTTTTTTTTTGGACAGGCAGAGTGGACAGTGAGAGAGAGAGAGACAGAGAGAAAGGTCTTCCTTTGCCGTTGGTTCACCCTCCAATGGCCGCCGCGGCCAGCACATCGCGCTGATCCGAAGGCAGGAACCAGGTGCTTCTCCTGGTTTCCCATGCAGGTGCAGGGCCCAAGCACTTGGGCCATCCTCCACTGCACTCCCTGGTCACAGCAGAGAGCTGGCCTGGAAGAGGGGCAACCGGGACAGAATCTGGCGCCCCGACCGGGACTAGAACCCAGTGTGCAGGCGCCGCAGGCGGAGGATTAGCCTATTGAGCCACGGCGCCGGCCTCAAAGAGTTTACTTTTCAATGAATGCAACGCAGGAAAAATGGTGAAGAATACAGGTAAGCCTAAGGGCAGATGTATTATTTTTTTACAACCATATAACAATTTCCAACAAACTTGGTGACTTAACAATATTTATTTATTATTCCTCTGTTTTAGGAAGGTCGGAAGGGCAGGTAAGTATTCTGAAAGGGTTCACAAAGGCTAAAATCAGACTATCAGACAGCCTGGAATTTTATCTGGAGGCTTTTGAGGAGAATCCATTTTCAAGTTCATTGAAGTGTTGGCAAAATGTAGTTCACAGAATTGTTAGGACTTGGGTCCCTATTTCCTTGCTATCTTTTGGCCAGGGGTTATGCTGATCCTCTAGAAGTCACCTCATATTCCTTGGTTCATGCACTGTCCCACCTTCAGCAATGATACAATGAACTATCCTGCTTCAGTCTGACTCCCCGTACATTCAACAGCCCAAAAAACTTAAGTCCATACAGATAAACTCCTAAAAGTTAATTGTGCCAACATAATCATGGAAGTTATTGTTACAGATTCCAAGAATTCTACTCAACACATTAGAAAAGACACAAACTGATAGACGCAAGTGTAGCTGCAAGAATAACATGGGAGGGGTCAGAATAAGAGCGAAGGGAGGTGGCTTAAACATAGTTATGAACATTTGGAACAGATAATATAACCCCTTGGCCATGAACTAGAGCATTCCCAGACATATCTAAAGATTAAAATCGTATTTTCATGATGAAGCTCTAGAATGTGATTACAAAATATTACATCTTCCTAAAATCGGTTTAAACAGCAGGATATTTACTTTTCTCACATAATAAGAAACCTAGACTAGGGTAGTTCAAGCTGAGTCCTTCAAAGCTCAGGCTCTGCTACTCTATCATTCCCAGCGTTCCAACCATCACATCAATTCTTGACGAAAATGATAGTCTTACGGCAGATATAGAATATGTTGGCCAAGTTTGAAATCTGTTTGGCAATACAGATCATAAACTCCATTATTTGGTACTGTATTGTATGGCTAGGCACCAGAAGCCAAAGTTTTATCTAGACATTGTCTTTGGGTTTGAAAATGTTAAAATCTCAATATCCTAGACAGTCCCAGGGGCTCTCAGCTGAACAGCCTTGTCTTGAGACAATTCAAAATAATGGACTTGGATCCCTTTTGTCTGGTCAGGAAAGCTTAAGAAAGCCCTGAGTAAAAGATTGTTCCAACACTAAAAGGCTCTAAATTATCAGACTCAGATCCAACAGTGGGATTCAAGATTGCAGCCTTTGGGTTCCCTGCCCGAAAAACAAAACCCTCTCTCTATATTTCAGATAAATCAGAAGGCTGAAATAGCTACACAACATATTACAACAATCTATAGATTTCATACTGGTCACACCAGTACTCTTGATTCTCAGCATCAATGCCCCAAAGTTCTATGTGTTATGGTTTGAATATTAGTTTGAGTGTTTTCTAAAGACACATGTGCTAACAGGCTTGATCTTCAAAACCTAATTTTAACAGTACTTAAGAGAGAAGAAAACTTAATCCAATTACAGTCTATAGAGGTGGGGTCTTTCAGAAGTAGCTGGATGGGACCGAGTTATCAGTGTGGAGCACCTGTCCCTGAATCATGGTAGCTTTACAGAGAGAGACAAGACACACGTGCTCTCTCATGCCATGTGATGCTGTGTGCCATCTAGTGACTCTCCCAGCAAGAACACCATCTCCAGATGCTAAGCCAATAGGTACTACCTGATCTTAGACTTTGAAACCTAAAACTATGAGCTAAATAAAACTGTTCTAAGTTAGCTACTCTTAGGTACTCTGTTGTTGTAACAAAAAGATAACTAATACATGGTATAACCAACCACTTCCAACTGCATAGCAAAGTTCCTCAAATTTCCCTTTAGAATAGTATGATCTTGCCCCTCCACAATCCCCCTTCTTCACTTAGATACTATCATACAATTTAGTTTCTTTTATTTACAGCTTCTAAATCCCAGACTTTAATTTTTTAAAGATTTATTTATTTATTTGAAGGTCATAACTAGAAAGAGGGAGGGAGAGACATAAAAAGACATCTTCCAACCACTGGTTCACTCCCCAGACGGCCATAAAAGACAGCGCTGAATCTGGCCAAAGCCAGGAGCCAAGAGTTTCATCCAGGTCTTCCACATGGGTGCAAGGGTCCAAACACTTGGGCCATCTTCCATTGCTTTTCCCAGGCAATTAGCAGGGGGCTGGATTGTAAGGGGAGCAGCCAGGACATGAGCTGGTGCCCATATGGGATACTGGCATTGCAGGCACTGGATTTACCTGCTAAAAAAACAAACAAACAAACAAAAAAAAAAACAAAAAACTGGCCCTCACAGAATTTAACTTTATAACAATCTGAATTTCTTCAAATGACAGGAAGAGAAAACTCCAAATTGGGCTTAAACCAGAAGGAAATATTTTACCATTTCAGACAGAACTGACCAAGGTAGTATATCCAAGAACAAGCCACACTTCTGCAATTCTCCAAGCAATATGTACCTCTTAGCTTTATTCTCAGGACAGTAATAAGATAGCTTCAGCCATTCCAGCCATAATACCCAAAAATAACAATTTACAGTGGAAGGAGAAAAATCTCTCTTCCTGTATACCATCTTTAAAATGAATAAATATTTGCCAGAAGTTAACTAGCAAACCTCATATTTCATACCTCATTGATCAGGTCAGCAGTATGCCTAAGGACTAACATTAATTACTGACTGGAATAGATGGGGGGAAGAGGAAATAATCATGACCAATACCAAAACTAATTGATATTTCTATACTGAGTTTGCTGATACTACTCAAGAGAATTAATGGGGAAAAGTAGACAGCAGGGTTGATTCTAGCACAGCAATCAGTAGAATTTGTGAGCTGGAAGAAGAAATTGAAGAGGTTGGTGAGTATGTTATCAAAGCAGCTTTTAAAAAAGTTCAATCTGATAGAAAAAAACTGAATCCCAGAAATGGCTGGTCAACTAAAAGAATGTGGAAAGATGAAAATCAATTGTTAATGGTTAAAAAAGAAAAAAGGGATAAAACAACTGTGATGGATCAGAGACAGATTTTGGAACTGAAAGCTTGAACATAGTATAACACGTGGCGACAAACTTCAACCGCAGAAATTAGTTGAAGCCGAATGATTTCAAAGCCATTATAAATAGGAAATTAGTAAACTATAAGGACACAAAATTCAATGGGTTGCTGCCTTGAACTCTGTAGTCACTAAGGATGAGGGCAAGAATTACAAGTAATAAAAGCCAGATGCCAAAATCCTTGAGAATTGTAGAGGCATAATGGATGAATAACTGCCAGTCAGGAGGAAGACTGGAAAAACAGTGTTCTTAACTAGCAAACTCAGCTTCCAAAGAAGGAACAAAAGGCAAGATAACAGAAAAAAAAAGTCTTGAAAAATGCTATATGAAATCAGATTTAAACTATGATGCTTTAAACTATGATGTTTACGGGAATATTAGCCAACTCCTTAATGGCCTGACCCAGAGTATATAAAGTATTTTTTAATCTAACTAAAAGATAGATGGGGGAATTTTTTTTCTAAAACTTTTATTTTTTGCATGTGAAGAAAATGCAAGCATATTGCTGAATTATACTAACAGGTCAGTTCTCTAGCTTTCCTAAATTGTACCTGGTAGGAATACATACACAGTTCACAGGTGGTGCACTTCAGCACTGATCCTTCTTACTTGAAACCATTTTAAAAAATCAGATTTTACAAGACAGCAAATATTACATGGAACTGTTTTCCCAGCAGGAGGGAAATACACAGAAGGAAAAGAAGGCAATTTAAGATTCTTGAAGTCAAATACTATCAAGCAAAAAGTCCAATATATAGGCAAGGCAATTATTCTGCTCATTCAGCAAGAGAAACAAAAAAAAAAAGAAAACCTAGGAAACATTCCCATTATCCATACCAGAAAATAATATGAAAGTTTAGAAACAATCAAAAAATCATACACTATTATCAGAATACAATTTTAAAATTTTTCCTTTATCATTTCCAAAGCACATATAAAACTAATGATCTCAGTCATTTAAAAGAAAGACAAAAATATTACAATATATGACGAGATTACTTTTATAGAGTTTTAGTTCTCCCAATATATGTTCTACAATATTGCTAAAGCACATCATGATTTCCTACGTAAATATCCATGTCACTATCTTTAAGGAAAGTACAGAATGTGATACTTCTGGAGTATTTTCTGCAATAATATAATTATGTATTATTATATATCCTTCAGTAATTAATTTTGCAATATTTTATCTATATATACATATATAGATATATATATGATAATCTTGCCAAGATGTAAGAAATGTATACAGTAAGAAGAAAAGGAATAAATCAGAACAAGATAAAGTCTTGGCCTTTTAAAATATCTTTGAGAATATACATAAATACATAATATTTAATATAAAAATAAATTATACTAGGAAAGGCAAAATGGAAGTATGCACAAAATCACTTTGCAAACACAAAGGTATCAGCTGAGCATTCAGGATCGTTCAAGAAGGCTATTTATTGGATATTGTTTCTTAAGTCACAATGTGAATGTCAGTATTATTTTTACCTTTTCTAAATTATTTTATTTTATTTATTTGCTTCTTTCAAAGTGAGTGAAACACAGAGAGAGACAGAAAGAAAGAGCACTTCTATCTGCTGGTTCACTCCACAAACGCCCACAACAGTCCCAATATGGGCCAAAGCAAAGAGCCAGGAATGCAATCTAAGTCTCCCATGTGGAAGACAAGAACTCAATTACTGCATTAAGAAGAAGCTGGAGTAAGGAACGGAGCCATGTATCAAACTCAAATACTCCAACATAAGAAGCAGGTGCCCTAACCAAGGCAATTTTTATTTTAATAAACTTTTAAATATACCCCCAAGTCACTTTTTGCAAGTAATTAGTCCAAAAAAAAAAAAAAAAAAAGGAAGTATAGGTAGGGGTGGGCACTGTGGTATAGCGGGTAAACCCACCTTCTGCAATGCCAGCTTCCCATGCGGGCACCAATTTGAGACCCGGCTGCTCCACTTCCAATCCAGCTCTCTGCTATGGTCTGGGAAAGCAGTAGAAGACGGCCCAAGTGCCTGGGCCCCTACACCCACATGGGAGACCTGGAAGAAGCTCCAGGCACCTGGCTTCGGATCAGCCCAGTTGCAGCCATTTGGGAAGTAAACTGGCGTATGGAAGGCATTTCCCTCTCTCTGCCTCTGCCTCTCTGTAATTCTGCCTTTCAAATAAATATGTAATTTTTTTTAAAAAAAGCAAGTATACAATATTACTATTAGCTTAAGGAGGACGTATGTTTTACTAAGAATTAAATATTCCTTACCTGTAATACTAAGATATTTTTTAAATACTCTTTTCCCAACATTATTTATCATGTGTTTCCACAGATTTACTGGACACTTGAATTTGCAGTGAAACATTTCTTATCCCTTCCTCCTTGATTAATCACTGCCCTAACTGTGACATGCTGCATTAATTTTTAAGGCTTTTAAAAGAGAAATTACAATGCCTGCTGTGATAATGTGATACTATCTTAACTGTAGCAATCACTTTAAAACTACTTCTTTGCTTATCATTAGCAATGGTAAGTGATAAAAGAAATTATATTAAAAGTATTCTGAGAAATGATTATTTAACAATTTTTAATAATCTGAAAATTCAATCTAGAAAACTCTCAGCACTATAGGTTGGGATACTGTCTGATGATACAGATTTTTCTAAATTTCCTCTAATTAAGAAAAATCCCTAAACCATTCTCAACCAATTAATGTCCTCAACTACTCGTCTCTGCAGCTAATTCCCTTAAAGCCAGACTCACGGAACCAGTTGCCAGACCAGGCTGACAAGAGAAAATTAAAGGTAAAGCAATTTGCAGGGCTCAAATCAGTACACAGTCAAGTCAGACTTAAGTTTTTACTCAAGGCAACAAACCATCCAGTATGTGTCAAATTGGTTAAAATGAAAAGCTTGCCACCTGGCCAACAAATATGCATCCGCATGGGAGACCCTGAAGAAGCTCCTTGCTCCTGGCTTCAGATCGGCACAGCTCCAACCATTGTGGCCAACTTCCATCAGATGGAAGACCGACACCTCTCTCTCTCTCTCTCTCTCTCTCTCTGCCTCTCCTCTCTCTGTGAAACTCTTTCAAAGTAAATAAATAAAAAGCATTAAAAATTTTAAAAAACACACAAAAAAAATAAAAGAAATGCCTGTATGTAGCAGTATTGCTGCAAATACAGATTTGTCAAAGTCTGTTTTATGCCTATGCCAAACCAATATCCATGTGGCAGCCATGGAAGAAACTCCTGGCTTCATCCCAGTCCAGACCTGGCCATTGCGGCCATTTGGGGAGTGAACCAGCAGCTGGAAGATCTCTGTCCCACCCTCTCTGTGTAACTCTGACTTTCAAATCAACAAATAAATCTTTAAAAAATAGAAGAAGAATATTATATTACTACAATTCAAAAGACCTATGATTCTTTAAAATGTACTGTATATGGGTGGTCAACTTTCCAATTGACTATTGTTTATATATTCCTGCTAAACCAGGGTCTTTTTTCTTTTATAAAAAATGAATAAATATTTTAAAGACAAAAGTACTCCACAGTGAGTGCAGCCCTTCCTTCATCTTCTGTATGTCTGAGAAATTCCCATGCAAAAGGTAACGCATCCTTTCCAGGACAGCTCATCGCAAATAAGTATCTGTCACTCCTAAGTGCTGACAATTGATTTAAAACATGTGCTTGCACTACATTTTGTTTTCTTCTGAAAGAAAATCAACTTATCAAAATGATTATTCTTCTAGAATGTTCAGAGTTCTTCAAAAGTGACAAATGACAAAGGCTCAAATGATAAACCAAGATGAAACATGGATGAAAATCAATCATGACTTTCCTGCATATTATCTTGTAAAACATCTGGGTTTAATTCAACCCAGAGATACAGCTCAACCAACATAGGAGTCTAAAATCTATCCAAAGTAACTGATTATACAAGAGAAAAGATAATGTGACAAGCATACAAAGATCAGTAAAGTGCTTTCTGTTGCTATCAAAAGGGCATAAAAGCAGAGTCTCAAAGAGGCTTATGATCTGGTAGCACTGCTGAGTTAGACAGTTCATGTCACTCATTTAACTAAGCCTATTACATTTGTGGCTGGAAAATAAACCAGTAGTAACTATTGTATTTTTTAAGTGCTTCTTTCTAACTAATAACTACTCTGAAATTTATAAACAAAAAAAAATTTTAAATAAGATTTAAAAAAATAATACGTTCTGGGGAAAATTCGTGTGATATTAAGGGAGACAGTGATTTTCTTCTATTGAATATTAGGATACAAATGAATAATTCAATTTATGGAGACTTAAAGTTGAAGGAGAGGGTGTGAGCCATCTAAAGGGACAACTCAGAAAAGCCATAGAATAACAAACCATTAAAAAGGCTTTTAAAAAATAAATCACTTTTTGCCTTGAAATAGTCAAGACATAAAGACACTTCTATCAAAGACATACTGATAGACTATGCACAACCTAGTGTTCAACTGGTTGTTGAAAGACTGGATGAATGAAATGTTGGATACAGCAAAAGCTGCTCCTCAGGAATGTGGCATCTATACCTGATTGTTCTTTTCTGTCAGTTCATCAAGAGTTTCAGACTGTTTCTCCAATGCTCGCTCTAATTTCTTATGCTTAAGCTTCCACTGCCTAATGGATTCTTGAGCTTTCAGTTTCAGGTCTTCTCGCCTCTTCTCCGCCTCCTCTCTCAGGGCCTCCGACTGTTGCAACTCACTGAGGTACCGCTCGGCCTGCTTGGTGGCATCCTCTGCGTGGTGCGTCAGTTCTGAGATCTGGAGGTCAGCACGCTTGCGTTCGGCCTCGCATGTCTCAAAGTGATTCTGGATCTCCTTTAGTTGATCCAACATGTGCAGCTGTTGTTTTTCTCTGCTCTCCAATTCATGTGTTAAATTCTAGGAATAAAGCATATGAAACATTAGGAAAAAATTTCTTGTCAAAACTAAATGTGTAACATTTCATCAAACAACAATCTCAAATGTCACAGAAATGGAAATCAACCGTACCAAATTTCATTAGCAATCAATTTAGAAAACATGAATCCTTTTCTGTGTATTTTATAATCACATTAGTTGGGAATAATTTTTTACAGATGTATTACCTCTTTTTAGACTACTTTATTATACAAAAAGGGAAAGCATATGTATGTTCAACTGGCTGTCACTAAAATGGAAGGTAATGTTGAGAAAAACAAAGTACATTATTTTAATAAGAACAGAGTGTTTTGTCCAACTGAAGAAATGTCAGTGCTCTAAAATTGTTGTATCACCAGATAAACATTAGCTGCAATAATATGTAACATCCTACCTTCTGGCAGCAGATAATATTTTATCACAATAAAGTGAAAATCAGTAGCAATAGAATGAGCATCAAAACCAAAACATCAGTACAGTAACATTCTATTTGAAAGTTTATTTAAAAGGCCCTAGTAAAGTGTTTATAGATAGGTTTTTTCCAGCTAAACCAACAAATGTTATAAGATGAAGCACTTTTCTCAAGCTGACATGAATCAATATAGTACAGTTTTTTTAAAAAAACTTAAAATTTATTTCGAATATCTCTCTAATCCAGAAAACAGTCTTGAAGTCTAGCTCCTCTAAATAAAGGATGGGGTCACTAATATATTTGGAAATTATACAGAATCATCATGATTAATACATATTTTAATTGAGAACAAGTAAATATCTATTTAAGTCCAAATATGAGAGGATAACTATTATCATCAACACTGAGCCACACTTACAAAGCTCTGTACAGAAGTCACAAATTCAGAAATTATGTTTACAATATGTCACATGAGCTGTCCCTCCTGAGCCTTAGTTTCTAAACAGGTATAATAAAAGTGACCTTAAAACTCCATGCATCAGGGCTAAATGTTTGGCATAGCTTGGCGATACCACCTGTGATAGCCACATCCTGTATCAGAGTGCCTGAGTTTGAATCCCTTCTCTGCTCCTCATTCTAACTTTGCACTAAAGAGTACCCTAACAGCAGATGATGGCATGAGTTCTTGGGTCTCTGGCACCCATATGACAGTTCCTGGCTTCCACTTGTCCCAGCCACACTCCTGTAGGCACTTGGGAAGTAAATCAGCAGATAGGCAATCTGTCTCTCTCTCTCCCCAACACCCCTTGCTTTGCCTTTCAAATAAATTAAAATACATTTTTAAAAATATTTAGAAGGTTATATTCCAAATGAGAAGAGCCCAAGAAACTAAGATGGGACCAGTTAAGACCCTAGTTGGGATGTTCATATCCTATATCAAAGTGCCTGAGTTTGAATTCCAATTCTCCTCCAGATTCCACGTTCCTACTAATGTTTATCCTGGGAGGCAACAGGTGATGACCCAAGTACTTGAGAGTCCCTGTCTTCTACATGGGAAACCCAGACTGGGCTCTGGGCTCCTGATTCTACTTGGCCCCAGCTCTAGCCGTTGCAGGCATTTGGGTAGCAGCAGATGGAATATCTCTGTTACTCTGCCTTTCTGTCTCTGTGCCTTTCAAATAAAAAAGAAGAAGCTTAGATCACTCTGTGAATTAGATAAATAATACGTATCACCTACTTTGTACTAAGCCACTGACATATGAAGGCTAAAAACATTTACTAAGGGGCCGGTGCTATAGCACAGTGGGTTAACGCCCTGGCCTGAAGTGCCGGCATCCCATACGGGCACTGGTTTGAGACCCGGATGCTCCACTTCCAATCTAGCTCTCTGCTGTGGCCTCAGAAAGCAGTAGAAGATGGCCCAAGTCTGTGGACCCCTGCCACCACGTGGGAGACCTGGCTCCCGGCTTCGGATCAGTGCAGTTCCGGGCATTGCAGCCTATTAGGGAGTAAACCATCGGACAGAAGACCCCCCTCTCTCTGCCTCTCCTCTCTCAGTGTAACTCTGACTTTCTAAATAAATAAATCTTTAAAAATATTTACCAAGTTCCCTGGCCCTGACAACAGAATTCTCAGGTCTAGATTCCAAAAGTCATTATCTGTGGCTCAAATAAAGATAAATATAATGTCCCCCATGAGTAAAGTCTTGTTTGACATTAAGGCAAATGTAAAAAATTAAAATGATGTTCAAAAAACAAGTTCTGTTTTCTAAGTAGCAGGTTTGCATTTGCTCAATTTGCTAAAATCAACACAGCCTGGAAGAGATTAGTCACTCCCTCAATCACCCAAACAAAATAGTAAGTTGAGAACTATGCACTTGTTTGTGTGGAAAATTCTGAAGCAAGATCAGAAAACCCTAGTGATTATGGTTTTTTGCCTTTATTCTGAAAGTTTTACCAATATGCTTGAAATCAACCGTATCAACGAGCACTAATCAAGTGATTTTGTATCAAAAAAGTAAGAGAATCAGAAATCAACGTTTTGTTTTTACAATAAATACCTTGAGGAAGAATGGTTATACCTTCTTTGTGTTGGTACATGGTTTATACAAAGATCAACGGGATGGCTTCAATAACAAAGACAGTAACAATCTAATTGAAATAAGGGTGGCAAGTAGTCATACCAGCAGCCAAATTTCAATGATGGTTAGGACCGACTGCTAATACAATACAGAGGTACCTCAAAGATGCTTGGACCGTACACTGTGCTTAGAATAAGTCTCTTAGAGAGGTAATGTATGAGCTAAGATCTAAACAAAAAGAAGCTAGCTAGCAATAATAATAAAATAACCATGACTATTATGGAAATTTATGGAACACCTGGACTGTGCCAGAGACTGAACAAATGCTTAATAAAAATTACTTCATTCAATCCCAGCACAGAAATAAAGCATTAATACTATTACTAGTATTACTCTTCCTCACTTAAGTGATAAGTAATCAACACTGGTGCAGTTAATCAATCGCACAGATAATAAATGAAGGTATGGGGATTTGGACCCAGAGTCAATGTTTTCAATCCCTTGCTAAGTTTCCAGATTCTCAGAAGACCCTGATTCCACGTCTCTTCAGTCACCAACTTCCATGATCCTATCTTGGTATTTTTTATCACACTGCGATGTGTGAAGCAAGAAGTTCCTCTCCTTTGTTCCCCCACTTCCAGTTTTAACCATCCATCTAACCAGTTTTTACACTTCCTTCCTTCTGCTACACTTACCCCTCATTGCCAACACAAAAACTGCTTCCTCAACATTCCTTTCCTCTGGCTTTAACGTTTTGGCTCTCTAACCTAAACTCCATGTTCTTTCACTTTAGGCACTTGCGTTTATGTAGCAAATCAAAATCTCACCACTATTTCTACTTCTACCTCATCTTTCTCCACCTCCACCTCTCTCTCACTTTCTCTTTCTCTCTTTCATTCCATCCATTAAAAAGTAAAACCACAAACTCTGGTTAAACTAAGGAATTCCTAACTCCTACATCATATCCCTAGATCTCTTCCAGAGAAAGTCACACAGAAGTGATGGCTGATGACTTCACATTGACAGGCATCTGAGAGGTTCTTCCATATAGCTTTGTGCAACTCCTACAATGGTCACTGATTACAAAATGCTGTCTCTGTTGTCTCTCACTTTTAATAGAGATCTTCCTGCAGAAGCAAAATGGAGACAGTGCAGGACTTCCCAAAATGTCCTACTTGTCCCAACCGGAAACTTACCAGGATGACTCTCTCCTTTTATTGACCCTCTGAGGAAAATGGATCCTTCCTCCTTTGACAAATTAGCCTAACTTTATTATTTCATTCTATATCCACCAAGAGCTTACTACCTAAATCAATAAAACTCTCTCTTCCATGTCTTGAACTTCTCTTTCCCAACTGGATCATTCTGCTCTACTTTCCCAAGTAAAAAATAAATAAATAAATAACAGTAATGAATAGAAAACAAAACTGTATCAAAACAAAACTTAACTCAGTTCTACATTATCTTCTAAGCAATACCCTGTACTCTTTCTTCTTTTAACCACAACTCCTAGAAAGAGCAGTCTACACTTCATGTCCTATAGCCTTACTTCTAATCCACTGTTTACTGTAACACTTCATGTCCTATAGCCTTACTTCGAATCCACTGTTTACTGTAACACTTCATGTCCTATAGCCTTACTTCTAATCCACTGTTTACTGTAACACCTCATGTCCTATAGCCTTACTTCGAATCCACTGTTTACTGTAACACCTCATGTCCTATAGCCTTACTTCGAATCCACTGTTTACTGTAACTGTCTCTATTCCTATTATATTAAATAGTTCTCACCAAGATACCCAAAAATCATCTATATCTAAATAAAATAGACATTTTGAAATTTTTTCTTCACCTAGTTTCATGTAAAATGTAAAAAATTTTATTCTTTCTTGTTCATTCTTACATCTCTTCTCTCTTGACTTTCGTTTTTTCAAACATTTTTTTTATTTTTATTTGACAGGTAGAGTTATAGACAGTGAGATAGAGACAGAGAGAAAGGTCTTCCTTCCACTGGTTCACTCCCCTATTGGCCGCTACAGCCAGCGCTGCGCCGATCCGAAGCCAAGAGCTGGGTGCTTCCTCCCAGTCTCCCACGCAGGTGCAGGGACCCAAGCACTTGGGCCATCCTCCGTTGCCCTCCCGGGCCACAGCAGAGAGCTGGACTGGAAGAGGAACAACCAGGACTAGTATCTGGTGCCCCAACCGGGATTAGAACCCAGGGTGCCGGCGCCGCAGGTGGAGGATTAACCAAGTGAACCACAGCGCCAGCCTCTCTTCTCTCTTGACTTTCATAACACTACTTTTCACTTGTTCTCCATGATACTTCCTGTTCTTTCATAATATCCTTTCCTGGCTCTCTTATCTTATTTAACCTTTAAATATATTTAACTCTAAAAAGTTCTAGTATTACGTATTACCCCATCTACATAATATCCTTGGTAGGCAGGTAACTAAGTGGGTAAGCAGACAGAGATGTAAGTGACTCCTAAT